TTAACAATATCTGTTGGATGAATACGAGTAGCAAGACTCATATTTTTTAGCGAAATACTATGACAATCTCTCGTCGACCTAAAGTAAACAAAGCAGATTAACTGTCATAGGAAGAAAAAGTATGCAATGGAGATGTAGGGACTGTATGAACAAAAACCAGCAGACTCTAACTTCTGCCGAAAAAAAAGCTAAAAAACAGGATGAAAGATCAAGACGTACCTCAAGTAGCATAGTATACTTGATCTCCAGTATTTTCTGTAGGTAAGAAGGCCGCGATCAGACAAGGGCCGCTCCGGACCTCCTACTTTTCTTTCCATTCTGGACAGTTGATAACCTAAAAAGTTAAGGAGTTCTATAAAAAATCTAACCGAAATTCAAACAAAATTATAAGAGACTAACTTCCAAAGGTCTTTGAATTATGTAGAGGAAAGGGATGATTAAAAATAATTGCATTCAAAGCTTACTCATATCAATTAGTAGCTGCCCGTAACCATTTCGCTGCTCGCTAGGGAGGGTCAACAAACAAGACAAGTTGTAATTTCTGCTAGGATTTTTCTCCTAGGAAAATCATTCATTTCTATCAAGGAAGGAGTACAGTGACTTCGCGAACAAAAATGTAGATATCAAAGCAGAGCTCACCTTTGAGAAATATCCGACTATTCTGCAGCCATCCTCGTCATTTCGCGTAAGGACATAGAACAGAAAAGTTGCAATTTCGCTAAACCTTGTCTTCCACGCCAAAAACTGCATAGCAAGGAGGCAAAGGTTGCGACAGTAGGTCTGAATGACTCTTATTTAGTTATAACCACTAAAGTTCTAAGAACAACATTATCTACCCGTTCTTCAGCACCATCAACCTCGAAAAAAGACAGCAAACCCGCTCCATCCCGATAAATCTCTCTACCGGGAGGAGTTATGCGAGGGCAATGATCCTAGAATTGTTTTAAAAAAATTGAAGACATGAAAAATTAGGAAAAGATTTGGCCACCTGATGAATAAAAAACGTGCTTTGCTCGCTGATTGGCTTTAGGCAAAATGGGCACACAAAGAAAAGCGGAGCACTTTTTATATTCTCTGGATAAGGGCTAGGATAAAGGACCTGCAAGAGTAAAGAAATCATTTTCAAAATGCTGAAACTGTCAAAATAGCTTGCCAACTTTGTATAATAAAATTTAAAGATAGAAACACACACCCTTATGTCTGTTTCTCCTCCAAGATTCACCCATTGCTCTTTCGCTTGCTTTTCAGATTCTTCTTTAACTGATAACAGAGACTCTTCCGCATTTAGGGCTTCTTTGAATCTGAACAAACCACATTTGAGGAAGGAAGACATACAGTAACAAGAAGAGGAGATCTCAACATTATAACAACACACAATTCTGCATCCTCCTTAAGAAAGTGTGACAAAGTCTTCTCAGACAACGTCCTCTTTCGAGGGCTGCGGCTAGGTTCTCTGTGATGTTCTTCAGCAGCTATAAGGGCGTTGTTCAAATCATCGCGAGCTTTCAGTATGGCCGATGCGGACCGACCATCTTTTGCGGTGCTAAGAGCAAACCTTGAAATCATACTGCAAGCAAGTGGTCGCAAACAATAAGTACCTTAAGGGATTAGCCAACGAATTCGAAGCACTATCACCGACAGCCGCATGACTCTCATCCTTCTTCTTCTTTCCTTTTTTTCGAAGAGCATTTCGGTCGTTGTCAAGGCCATTGGGACTGATAGGAGTAAGGATCTCTGTTACAGAGGATGTACGCTTTTGCGGTGTCCCTTTTCTAAACAACTCCTTTCTCTTGAAGTTGCACGATGATTGATGCAATTGATTATTTTGCGAAACAGAAGAACTGTTGTTATTTAAAAAATGATAGCCAAGAATAAATGCAAAGAAAAAAAAACGAAATTCGCTAAAATCGTGGCGTGATATGACATCCCCAAAAAGATCCAAGAAAGTTACAGAAATGATATGCGGAACATTTTTTACTAGCAAGGCTATTAAAACAGATAAAAGAGGGAAAAAAACTTTTGTATATACATGAAAGATTTTACCAAATCCATGCATGATTGGCGTTATGCCGAAACCCTGTCCTCAAGATCTCAAAATCTGCATTTTGCTAAACTTCGCCCGACGGGACTACTCCACATTCTGACCATAGATACCATAATCATCGCATGATGCGGTTATGTACGGTTTTGTAGGTGAATAGTAGTGGGTCAGGATTACCGCATTTGGCTAAATTCTTGCCCAGTGTGGTAGTACGTGCTGATCACAAATAACATATCCACCGCGCGATACGGTCATAATATAGAGTTCAGGTAACTGGTCGAAGCTATGACCATGTCGGATCTGATTTCAGCTTCAATTGGCATTTGGACATAGCTGTGCGCTTGCACTTTCTACAAACAACTTCAAGTTTGCGTTTTATATACTTTCCCATAGAATACAGTGTAATCATATGGGCATCATTTAAATAAGAGTTGGCCTTTCATATGTCATGCTATGGCTCCGAATATATAGCATATACTAAGTAGAAAAAACAATGTAGAAAAAGGAAAACAACAGCTGACCGGTAGGCAGATAAAAAAAGGTAGAAAAATCACTCACAATGGTGTGACAGAAGATCTCGGAGACTTTAGACAGTACTTGCAGTACCAGCGTCTTTCAATATATTTGCCACCTGCTGGTTTGCATACACCATGCCATGCTCGTAAGCATGTGGTGCATTCAACGTTTGATGGATCGTCGATCATGAGGTTACATTTAGCGCAAAGAATACACTAGAAACCATAATT